AGCATTGCTCCCCGAACGTATTGCTCCCCGCGCTTGAAACTCGACGTGCATCGATTAGAGGTTCAACGTGACACCAACGCGCTGTACGTGACAGAATATCGACTGCAGTACGTGACTGTGCGACTTTTCAAACAAGCAGACACGTTCGAATTCGGACTGCTGTCTCTCTCTCTCTCTCTCTTTCTCTTGCAAATTGTTATTCTCATCGACGCAGTGTATCCAAGCTATGTATTTCCATTCGCACGTTCGAAAACCGATGAAAACTCGTCGCTGAAATCTGATCGAAATCGACTCGATCTGTATATTGTCGATGATGAGGCTTCTCGCGCAATTAACTACAACTGTTCCCAATACGTTCGTCTCCTTCGTCGGTGTTTTTTCCCTTGCTTGCTCACTCCCGACTCCGACTAGTCAATAGAACTTTTTCTTATACTTTCGATACCTCTCCTCCTCGGAATGCCTGCGCAGCTGATTCAAAAGTTCGTTCGGCACGTGCCAGAGTTTGTTCGCGTTAACGAGGAGAGCTTCGGTTGCCTGGCAGCACACGGCTGCCATGTTCAGCTGGGCGGTCAAGTCGGCACGATCGCGCGGATGAACGTACCGCGGTGGGAACAGGGACGGCGCCACGATCATCGCCACGTTGTGAATCGACATTTTGTTCGACGCTTGGTTCTCCACCACCAGCTTGAAGAACTTGACCAACGCTTTCAGGGTGCAGCGATTCTCTATCGGCAGCAGCAGCACCAGCAAGTTCAAAGCGTACGACAGCTCCTGGTGATCCTTCACTCCTGCACGCGCGAGACATGAAAGAACAAGCGAAAGAACGTGTCAAACGTGAGAAATTATATGTTACATGTCATTACTCGTGCATGCTGCTCGAAATTCAAACATGTTTGCGACTTACCGTGACTTTGGTAGAAAGCGTCGATAAGCTCCACGGTGAGCAGCGGCTGCGGCAGCTCGCGCAACAGCTTTTTCAAAATTGCCGACAGATCGTGGCACGACATGCACTTGAACAAGTTGTCCACCTCTTTCGCCTTGCAATAAAAGTCCGTTTCCAATTGCCTGCATATCGACTCGACCTGACGACGAAACAACAGCGGCGTTTATCTGTGTGTCGTTATCGACCGATGTCGTGTTGGTAGTTCAAGTGTACGTTGAAAGAAATGTAATACCTTTTGCTTGTGTCCGCCGACGCGAAGGATACCCTCCTCTCTGACGCCTCGTCTGGTTAACTCGTTGAGAACCTTTTGAAACACCAGCGGGATGTTACTCTCCTCGGATGACAATTGACTGTCTCGAAGCAGCAGAGTCGACAACGAAACGCCAAACAAGTTTCCAGCTGCGAATGTAACGCGATCAACATCGTTTGATCAACAACTCGCGACGACTCGACCTGAGTCTCGGTCTTTCTAAACGAACCTTTCGTCCGACGTTTGTTCGGTTTCCGTTTTTTCAACGGCAGGTTGTACTTGTCGAACACGGCGGTCAACTCCAGCCAGAGCAGTGGCTGCAACCTGGTCAAGTCTCGCTGCGTGAGCGTTTCGATGCCCAGACGTCCATGCACGTCGTCGGCTGTACCGAGAGCCTCCGACTTCCATACGTCTGACTTCGTTTCGTTCGTTCTGCACATTTCTTCGAAGCTCAAGTGACCGTGAGAGGACGTCCGATTCAACGGGCGAGTGATGAAACGTTCGTCCGCTGGTCTCGTCAATCCGTACAGGCTGCTGTGACTGCGAGTTACCGACACCGCGTGACTCCCCCCCGAGTTTCTCCTGAAATTTTACCACGTGTAAGATTAGTTTTCGGTCATCGAAGCGTCATTGACGCGTTCGAAGCACGCACGCACGCACACGCACGC